GGTCTTTCTGATAAAACTACTAACTCATAATGTCCGAATTGAGTTCTACGGCATGTTTTGATCTGACAGGCTACATATGGTTAAAATTGAGAGTAAAATTGGAGAGCACTAAAGTGAGATCGTAACGTTGTGCTCTCCAATTTTACTCTCAATTTTAACTATATTCTTGTACCATTTTTACTAGTGTGGGTTTTATTCATGTACAAAATATAGTATACAAATATGACATACAAGGAATATAAACTAGCTACAGAAATTGCACAGTGAGTAGAAGTCAGAGTCGAGTGGGAAGAACATCATCAGAGTCTGATTACCAAGAATTATATAAAAACTAGCTACAGTACACTACAGGTTGTTGAAATTGCACTGTGATTGTGGTGGCAGCTCACCATACAGTGATAACAGCGGTGGTGGCAGCACCATACGGTTCTATGGTTCCTCATATCTGAGGGAAACCCGAAATAAGAACAAGAACGTCGCAGGAAAATATAAGAATGAATTTATTTCGCAAAGAATCCAACACCGATACGTTGCAATGGCACTTGCCGTCGTTGTTTGTGTTAAATTATACATCTGACGGCATTTAGGTACTAAGTGCTACGACGGCATTTACTTGCCGCCGATACAGACTACCTCCGACGGTAAATCAATATGTTCCGGCGGCAAATGCTGTCAGTTGCCGTCGTAAAATTCAATCCCTGATCTAATCTATCAACATTGACTATTTCTCCTATCGGTCTCTTCTTTTACCAGTACAAAGGGTGACAAGTTAGAACCAGGTGAACTTGTCATACCTCTGATACGAACAAACAACTGGAGGCAGCGATTAGATGGAGGGCTGAACGGTGCTGCCCCCCAGAAGCAGGAGCAGCAGCTCGACGATCTCTCGGCACAGGCAGTGAAGGAGCTTCTAAAAGGTATTCATAGCGGTTAGAAACCAATGTCTTTGTAAGTTGCAGCAGCCATCAAGAGTACATAATAGGAGAAGAGTATGACACTGTTTTAACAGCGTTTTGCGTAGTTTTCAACTTG